TGAGTCCTTAACTTGGGGTTCATTTCACCTAACATCAACTTATCTGACCTTTTCTGCTTGTCTCAGACATATACTAGTTATTGCAAATAAGGGAAATCATGGGACCTATGTTTCTTTGGACCTGGCTTACTTCACTTAATATAATTTTTTCCAAGTCTTTCTGTTTCCTAACAAATGAGGCAATGTCATTCTTTCTGATTGTGTATACACACCACATTTTCAGGACAAGAATAATTTTTGTTTTGTATTATTCACATTAGTAAATAGTTAAATAATTATTCCATCTTGATAATACTATATGATATTAATACTATTGCCTTTATTTTATAGACATTGAAATGAAACTTGACATGATAACTGGTTGGAAATCCACAGACCATGTTTTTGGTGGTACTGGGGTTTGCTTACTAGGCAAGTGCTCTACCACTTGAGCCATGTTTCTGCCCTTTTATTTATTGATTTGTTGAGAGGGAGGTCTCTCTGTTTGCTTGAACTAGCCAAGAACAGTGATCCTCTTTGTTCTCTGATTTATAAGTAGCTATGATTACCAGCATAAGAACTGCACTTCATCCTGAAATTCATAGACGTTTATTCCAGGCAAAATCAAGCTTCCCTTAGATTATGTTTTAAAATACTGGTTAAAAGTCAAGTGTCTCTAGAAGCCTCATTATTATCATTGGAGGTTGATTATTATCTTTGGATAGCATTTCTTTCAGAAACAAGGGCAACATCGATCTAAATGGGCATTTTGATGACTTTGGAGAGCATTTGTCACATGCTACATAATATAGATAGCAAAGATAAGAAAACATACATGTGGGCCACATCTGTCATATTTCTGTAGCTACTTCATTAATTCACTGTGAAATAACATGAGTTAATTTGATGTTCACTGAATGACTACGCTTCGGTGTCATCTTTACTATTTAAATTGGTAACTGGATGAAAAAATTAGAAATAGGAATGTTTCCATGGGAAAGCATATAGATTCCCCCCCCCCATCCTTGCTGATTTTTTCAAGTTCTGTCTTGATGACATTGGCTAGGAAGCGAGGCCTGTTTCTTGTCTTCCCAATTCCAGCTTCTTATGCAGCTTCTAACAATTCTGGGTCTCTTCTCCTGGGATTGAGCGCAAGCCCAGATGTGCTCCTGACTAGTCCAGTCTCTGATAGGAGACTCTTGAGAGACTTCTCAACTCAGGACATTCTCTTGCTCATGTGGTCCAGGCTGGTAGAGGGGGCAGAGCTGTGGGAGGGACTAAATGATTCCAGAAAGAGCAGCAGAGAGTGGCAGAAGATGGTAGTTTGTGGAGGGAGGCCCGGGAGAACTTAGGGCTGACTAGGCAACTGCATTTGAATAGCACCTACTTTCTAGAACTGTCTGGATGAGCTTTCTCCCCTTAATTCTCCAATCAAGATAACTGAACAAAACAATACACTTACCTATTTGGGCTTGGCTTCCTGGAATGGCTGATAGTGCTTGGATCCATGGCCCTGCTTGGCTACCCACTCTCTGACCAACCAAAGACAAGGTTTTTAAAGTCTCTGCACTTCAGTCTCTATACCTAAAACAGAGAGGTTAAAGAGAATTCTGTTTTAGAGTTGACTTCAAGAATGAAACATTTCCAAGATGCTTAGAATAGTTGGGACACCAAACTAGTGTCCTCTGATGGTGGCTGTCACTATTATAAAGGTTGATCAAAATGTCAACTTTTCTTTTCCCCCTGGTTTCTGAGGCTTGAACTCAGGGCCTGGGTACTGTCCCTGAACTTTTTTTCCCCTCTCATGCTTATCTTGTGGCATTTTGGTGGTTAATTGGAAATAAAAGTCTCACAGACTTTTCTGCCCAGGCTGGCTTTGAACTGAAAATCCTCAGATCTCAGTCCTCTGAGCAGCTAGGATTATAGGTGTGAACCACCAGTGCCTGGCCTCCACTTGATTTAGATATTCATTAAAATGTACTGACTTTTCTGTGACACACAATGAATTCTGATAGCTTGGTTTGTTGTTTATAAAGAGGCTTCTGAGTCATAGTTCATTTCTTTTTATTCAATAGTCAAAATCTCAGATATTGTCCAGTGTGTTGGATGTTGCGCATCGATTCATAAAAGAAGTGAATCCGGATGAAGCTAAAGGAGAGAATATCTCAATAAAAGAGGCCAATAAAAGCCAGAGTAGGCCCACATCCCCACCTGTGTGGACCAGCAGCTCTGAGGTAAGCTGGGCTGGATGGTCCCAGGCTGGAATCTACAGATCTAACTGGAGTTATGGCAGTTTGGAGATTTGTGTATCGTATTATTATTTAAAGTGGATTCATGTTTTATTAGTCAAATATATGTTGACTGTAAAATGATGTTTAAGCAAGAGATTAGTGTGATTCCATTGAAAACTGATCTTTTTTCATGAATGATCTTTTGACCTGATGGATTTCTGGGCATTTGTTCCATGTCAAGAATTTAATAAGGATGCTAGGGAAACAGTAAAAGAAAGTCCACGAGGCAATATAACAATTTTTATATAAGTCCAGTCTTCAGAGAGACTAAAAATACAAAGCTTTCCCAGTGTTTTAAGTGACAAGCAATTTCAAAATTAAAAAGAAATATATTTTTGTACCAGTTCTGGGATTTTAATTCAGGGTTTGGGCACTCATCCTGAGCTTCTTTTGCTATAGGTTAATACTTTATCACTTGAGCCACAGCTCCATATCTGGCTTTTTTGTGGTTAATTGAAGATAAGAGTCTCACAGACTTTTCTGCCCAGGATGGTTTTGAACTGTGATCCTCATATCGCAGCCTCCCGATTAGCTAGGATCATAGGCATGAACTACTAGGATCTGGCTATTTAAGAAGCAGCTTGATAGAAAATTCTGGTAGTTAGTTAAAAAAAGAGAAAATTCTGGTAGTTATTCAGGTTAGCTATTTATCCCATGATGTGCTGAATATGTTTTTAAAAAACAGCTCATCTCCATATTTTTATAACAGACTTTTGCAGGTTCTTTTTTTTTCTTTGGTTCTGGGGCTTGAATTCAGGTCCTGGGCACTGTCCCTGAGCCCTCTCTGTTCAAGGCTAGCACCCTACCACTTGAGCCACAGCACCATTTCTGGCTGTTTCTGAGTAGTTTATTGAAGAGCTCTCAGCCTCCTGAGTAGCTAGGATTACAGGCGAGCACCACATGCTCAGTTTGGCTGTGTGGGTTCCTCAGTAAGAATCTCCTGTAGTCCTTGCCCTTTCAGAGGTCACTCTCTCTTCGCCGCATGCAGTTCTGAAGCTGAGAGACTTGGTTGGTGCGGAGCTTGTTCCATCCAACCAAGTCTGAGCTGTACTGAGGTCTCTCAGGTTTTACACTCATGTTCACTGAGATGAAAGAGAATGAAGCCTATGTTAGCCGAAGCTCTTCCCAACAGAGGAATTGTGTTTGCATTTTTCAAGCAAGAAAGTGTTTTCGTGGATCAATGTTCTCTCTCCTCCCTCTCACCCTCTTTCCTTTTCTCCCTCCCTTCCTCCCTCCCCTTTTCTCCTTCTGTTCCTAAATTCTTCCTTAGGTGGCAATCAAGAGGAGGTTTGAGCTCAGGGTCTCATGCTTACTAGGGAAATCCTCTACCACTTGGATCACACCTCCAGACTGTTTTTTGCTTCAGTTCCTTTTTTCCTATTAGTGACTTATGGGATCTGTTGGGAACTTGAAATTGCAGAGCTTTTGAACTTCTTGAGCAAAGTGACAATGAGAAGAATTTTCACAGGTGTGGTGCTGGCCCGTAACCTCAGTGCTCAGGAGGCTAAGTGAGGAGGATCAGGAGCGAGAGGCCAGTCTCTGGGATACATAGCAACGTCTTCTCTCAACAACCACAACTGAAAGTAAAAAGTAAAAAAGAAACAGTGATTCTTCTGCAGTGTCAAGACTATAGGGCATTGGAGGCCTGAGCATTGCCGACAGAATGTATGCATGTTTTTGTGGACACAGTGAATAACCTAAGAACCAATCAAACCTATAATATTAATTTATCTTATAATTGCCAGTGCAAGAAAGCATCAATGCATTTAAATAAGTTACTTAAACAATACCATCCTAATTTAAAATACAGCTGATTGATAATGACGAGTCATTAGCCTTACCTATGTGTTAAGACTCCAGAAAAGATGCTAAAGCACAGTTTGATGTATTTTGTACTGATTTAGGTAAAAAGAAACAAGACGGATCGGGGGGAATGCACAAGTCCGGGAGACCAGCTCTTGTGTGAAGGAGTTTTTGATGAAGTGGCTTCTGCCCAATATTTCCAAGAAGCGTTAAACCATTGGAGAGCTGGAAATTCTGACAACAAGGAGAAGCAGAACTCACAGGCAGGAAAACCAGGTATGGCTGCTACGGAAACGCTCAGCAGGCATACAGTCAGGGTGGCTTTAGTGATCCCCATTCTCTCTGAAGAGAATTGCAATGTTTGAAAACTTCACGGCTTGCTGTCAGTCCTTCACACGGCATTTGGTATGCAATCTATGATGGCAGGTGGTTGGCTTAGTATTTACAGACCCTGAATTGGGTCCTAGGGATATTTTATCTTTGTTTCCTATGTAAATTCAGGCAGTCCAATTAATGTAATATTTTAGTTGGTCTTTCACCGTTTTTTCTTTTAGCAAGAAACAGTTGTTAGGGTAACAATTCCATTTTAGAGTTCTAATTGTGATATGCGAAAGAGGAGAACCTGTGAGACAGAAAAATCAGAGATTTTTAGGTGTATATTGAAAAATATGATCTCAAGGTTTACTGTGAAATTCAGCAGGATAATTGATTGATGTTTGAAAATATCTTTGACTTTCCTTTTCTTCTGTCTCTCTCTCCCTCCCTTCTCCCCTCTCTCTGGTAGTGCTAAAGTTTGAACTCGGGTTCTTTTACTTGTTTAGGGAGTTACCCTACCATTGAGCCAAATCTCCAGCCCTGTATTTCACTGATTATTTTTGAGTTAGAGTCCTACTTTCAGCCTGACATGCATTCGGGCTATGATACACCTATTATCAGGCTCTGGGGTTTGGCTTGGGGAGATATGGATGCTGTAGTTGATGGTGTATAACCTAGTCAGCCATCCTCACATACTGTAAGGGCTCAGAAGAACATTTTCTACCAGTCCTTGCGCGCTGTCACCTTTAATCCAATTTGTTATGGCTTTGTCCTGTAGCTGAAGATGGTTGTGGAGGGAAATGATTGAGCTGTCTGTTTTCCAAAAACATAATGGGAATCTAGAATGGTAGAGGCAGATGTGAGTACATAATCAATAAAGTTGCAAAGGAAAAACAATCAAAATGTGGTGCAGGGAAGGGTAATGAGCAGGAGGTTTTATCCACCAGGGTCTTAGATGCTAAGGAGTGGACAAAGTCGTGCAGCATCCTGTTTGATCCATATGGTGGGATGACTATTATATAACCATCAAGTCTGACTTGGATGTGCCATACTGAGGATTCAGTTTTTAAAAATTATAACATTCATTCATTTATGTGTTCTAATTATCTACCTATATTTATATTTTTAATTGTCAAGGTGTGTGCAGAGGGGTTACAGTTACATAAGTAAGGTAATCAGTACCTTTCTTGTCAAACTTGTTACCCCTTCCCTCATTTTTCTCCTACTTTCCCTCCCCCAATCATCCCACCCCCAAGCTGGAGAGATCATTTCCAACATATTGTCTGGCATATATCACTGTTGCATTGGTTCTTTGTCTCACCATTCTGTTGTTCCCCTTCCAATTTTATGATGTTGCCAGACGTAAAATCTGAAGGCACCTGTACATGAAATCGTCCATCTGTGTGTGTACAATGTGTTTTTATGAGAAGCCTTCACTAGCAGTACTTTTGGCTATTTGCCACAATAAGTACCCAATGGAGAATGCAAATCCTCAGGGGCTGTTATTACTATAACTATTACTACTACTATTATTAATCATCTAACATTGATTTACTTTATCCCCCAATGAGGCGATGAATGAAGCCTGGCATTGATTCTTTCTCTTATTGGATGCATCATAGCGTTGCTTTACTGTACTTGAATATATATTTGGGGAGACAAAATTAGGAGTTTGGAAATTTGAGTGTTGGCACAAAAGTCATTAACAGCGATACATAACTAGATCCCTAGAAGGAGCCGACCTTCCTATTGCTATGCTACAATAACATGGCTGAAGTAATATGATTTTTCTGAGCATTAAAAAAATCCATGGCATTGTCAAATGTTGCTTTTAAAAATAGTCATATTTAAAGCTGGGCACTGGTGGCTCATGTATGTAATCCTAGCTACTCAGGAAGCTAATCCTCAGAATTGAGGATTATGGTTCAAAGCCATCCTGGGCAGTAAAGTCTGTGAGACACTTTTCTCCAATTAAGCACCAAAATATCAGAAGTGGCTCCATGCCTCAGTGGTAGAGAGCTAGCCTTGAGCAAAAAGTTCTCAGGGGTAGCACCCAGGTCCTAAGTTCAAGCCCCAGGACCAGCACCAAAAAAAAAAATCATATTTAACTTCTTGGTTTGGTACAATAGCCAATGATCTAAGAGTGTGACTATAACTATAATAAACTTGACTAGACTAAAAGGAAACTAATCACTGTTGCTTTGTGGATGTTGGTTAAACACCAACAACCATAACACATTCTTTGTAACTAACAGCAGCTATTGACCCTACTATATACACAACATGGTACATGGTTGCTGTGGGCAGCCAATTTGCAACCACTCAGTTATCCATCCTTGCAATTGCAGCACCAAAGCTGGCACTTATGCCTTCCAATACAACTGTCTTCCAATAAAGTGCAGAACAAGTATCCAACAAGTGCAGAAATGTATCCAAATAAAAACAGTGGGCCAGAGTTTAGTCTACTTTGCTAAACCCTGATCCAGGAAATCTATCCTTTACTTTTTCTATCACTGAAGATAACCAGAAATAGATAGATTAGAAAATGAAACAAAATTTGTGTCAGTATACCTTTACAATAAGATTCTTTGATTGCAAGGGAGTATTGAAGATAATTGCCTACATGTGTCACTTACTAATTCATTAAGACTTAACACCTTAGCATTATTTAAATCTTAATCTGTTGTTGCATATACAAAATGCTAAAGCACCTTTGCTTCTCTTAAGAGAAGATACGAGAATTTATAGGCTTGGCTTGATGAATTATTCACACTAGGCTTGTGTTTGTAGCCTCATCGGAAGAATGCGAAGTGCAAACTAATCTGAAAATTTGGAGTGAACCAATTAATATCGAATTTGCTGAAGACAGTCTATCATATATGGAAAAATTATGGCTTAGAAAACACAGGAGGTATTTTCTGAATTTTTGAAATTATTATTTATTAGGAAATGTAAAAGCTAGCTTGTGCCTGCCTTTTTATAGCCATTTTATATGTATGCTTCATATTTGCATAACTATTTTAAAGCATTATTAAATTGAAACTTCTTCTGTTTGTGCAATAATTTTAATTATACTTACAGAGGGTGCAACCCTGATTTAGAATTTGACTTGAAGCATAAAACTGGGTATGTGAACAAAAGGAACAAATACAGGATAGACTTTAAGAATGATAAGGGAAAATATGGTAATAAATGGTTACTGCAGATAGCCTTGCTGTTAGATCATTAACATCTGCACACACATTGGAGGCTAGAGTGTCCCCAGAATACTTTCAAGTTAACTAGACTTTTAATTTTATAATCTTTACAATACCCTCAAAACACTTTATTCCAAGACTATACCCTTAGATCCTACATTAGTTATGTTTTTTTCCCACTGTAATAAAACACCTGGAAGACACAACTTAAAGGAGGAAAGAATATTTTATAGCACATCCTTTGGCCTCATTTCCTTGGGGAGAGCATTATAGGAGTGGTAGCATGTGGCTTGTGATGGAGCTCTCACCCTGTCATGGTGGACAGAAGAGTGGAAAGGCAAATACAAGAAAGGGCTGGGGGAAAATATAACCCCATAGGACACGCCCCTGTATTCTACTTCCTTCAACCAGACCCCACTACTTCCTGTTTACCTCCTCAAAGATGCCATCAGGCTATGAATCCATCAAGGGATGAATCCATTCATTTAAATCAGAGACGACATTATCTAATCATCTCACACATGGAGGTGTGCTTTTCCATCTCCAGAAAATTTCCCATCCATCCAGGTTGACCCTCTAGTTTACTAATTAAAACTGCTTCACAATTCAAAACTATTAAAATACTCAACCAAAACTATGAACTAGTACACAGATTTTACTAGCACATGATTGTCATAATTTTACCATCATATTGATACATAGGATTTTGGAGGGACACGGTAAAAATCCTAAATTCAGTTTCTCTTCAGCAGAGTTCTTCACATTTCATTGTTTTTTCTTTTTCTCATTGGAAGATCATCAGAAAATACAAGGTTCTTTCGTAGATCTAAATAGGGAGAATCAGCATCTCCGAATTTCTAATAATCTCGAATGACGCTGGTGTGATGATGCTGGTCCCTGGATCACATTCTGAGGAGGAAAATGGTGGAGAGTCTCTCCTGAGTTGGCCAGCCCCTGCTTTACCATCCTTTAGACTTAGCCATTTCCAGAGGAGGTCGTTCACTTCATCTTCTAATATTCTGACATATAGGTTTGAGAAATAAAAATCTTTTCTCGCCAGCTATTTCCTGATCAGATTTACAGTCACTTGTTATATGTTTACCCAACTGAATTGATCAGTGCTCAATCAATATTTGCTAAAGTGTATAGAGCAAAAGACAGTGAGGTAAATACTATCCTAAAAGATGTTTCATTCATTCTCTCTGTGGCACCATCTTTATCAAAAAGCATTTGTTTCAGTGTCTGACTAGCCCAGATTTTCAACTTAGCTTGCTGTTGGGATAGTTGTTTATTCCCAGGCAAATCAGTTAAATTTTATTGCTCCAAGTTTGCTCATTAGGAAAAATACTGAGTAGAGAATGAACAATAGCCTGTATCTCAGAGCTCCATTGTCTAGAGTCTGTTAGTCTTTGGATGAGGGTGTTTGCTCAGAGAATCAGAGATATGGTCACTTCTTGAAGAAATATCTGGTTATCAGCATATTTATATAAATATATGATGAAGTGTTAGTACAGTAGGTTCAGCTTGAACTAGGAAGCAGTTCTACACTTCGATATTTGTGACTATGACTTCATTATTGGACATAGAGGTTTCCCTCCATTCAGTTTGGTTAGAAAATAATCTGAGAAATACATAGTTTGCAGTTCTCTGATAACCTACATTCTTTATGTTCACAAGTGTGTAAAACCACGTGCTACTAGAATACTAGCAAACATTTAGGGTCTTCACAATTTGCGCGATGTTCCATTGGCAATAAGAATGTGCAGGCTGTTCAAATTCACATTCCTGTTTCTCACAAATCCCTGCATCACTCCGTGAAACCAGGGGGTTCATCATTATTGCTTCAACTTCATCATGTTGCAAGCCAGAATAACAGCCATGCTTATTGAACATACTACTAAAATTTACTGGACTGATCATAGTTAGAACACACCCTGGAAAATTTAAAGTTGTTTCGTGAACTTTAAATGGATGTTTACCAAAGCCGTTCAGACAGCCCAGAATTTTATGTGGGGAAATGCATAGACTCACTTGGTCTAGAAATGGACTGTGTAGCTATTCATCTTAGTTAAAAATGACCTCCCTTCTCTGCCCAGTGATCTGGGAATGAAATCTACACACTTGACCTCTTGAGAATTCCCAGTCCTTTCTCCTTGCTTTCCATTTGTCTTGCCATCTTCAACCCTCAATGTTAATTAGATAAAAAATGCTCTGGCATCAGCACCTCTCTTTCAAACCACGGGGACCTATTTCATCCCCCCTACTGGTAAGCTGGAAGTTTAGACAAATGCCCACAGATTCACTTAGAACTCCATCAACTGAACGGTCAAGCTGGTGAGATAAAACACACTTGCAAATGAGCTTTTTAAATAGTGCAGCACATTGCAGAGGCCTCATGTGGCTTTGTGGAGAATTCTAGACTTACATCATAACTTTGTTTTTCATCTTAAACAGTAGGATATAGGATTGATTAAAAAAGAAGCCTGTGTGATGTCCAGTTGCATTCCAAAACATTTAACCCATTGAAATTCTATTATGTACAACCACTACTTTCTGCTGTGAATTAAAGGTGTAGTTAGAGTTTCATCGGTAGTTTTGTGTTCACTTGGGTAAATAAATAGCCAATTTTCAGATTACCCATTCTGATTTTTTAAAACCCCTGTCTTTCCTGTGTGGTAGAACACCACAGGAGCTGCAGAGCACGCAGTCCGATCCTGTCACCTGTGTGAGAGAAACAACTAGCGAAGCAGAGTGCTCCTGGAATGAAAAAGAGGACAAAGAAGACAATAGTGATGGTCAGCAAGGCTTTCAAAAATCTATCATTTAAAGTGACTTCCAGCAAGCTTTAAATAGCCTCCTTTTATCTCCCAGATGAGAATCAGGGATGCTCTCTTCTCATCCTCTAGACTGACTTTGCCTCAAAGAGTTTCATTTAAAAAATGAATACTAGTTTGGGCACTAGTAGCTCACAACTATAATCCTCACTATGTGTGTGGTGGTGGGGGCGGAGGTGAGGGCTGAGATTGGGAAGAAGAGAGTTCAAGGCCAACCCCAGGCAGAAGACTTTGTGACACCACCCTTAACTGATAGCTGGATACAATGGTACCCACTTGCCGTTCTAGCGATGGGGGAAGCTGGGGTTAGGAGATCAAAGTTCTAGGTCAGGCTAGACTCCATTTGAGGAAGACCAGCTAGAGATGATAGGACCTGCTTGTCATCTCAGTTATAGCAGGAAGCCTAAAGTAGATAACTCAAGGTCCAGGCCCCTTCCAGGAAAAGAAGCAAGACCCCATCTGAATAAGAACCTGTACAGAAAGGACTGGAGGTGTGGTTCAGTGGTAGAAGACCTACCTAGTAAGTGTGAGATTCCTGAATTCAAACCCAGTACCCCACTAAAAAAAAATAAGAAAATGAATGGTAAAAATCTGCATGGTTTCCCAGAACTGGAAAAACTGCCAATGTTTCTATGTTTGTCTCGATGCCTTGGAAAAGATGATTCTTGCATTGCTTGCAGAATTATGACACAAAAGTAAAGTATCAGATGGGAAGTAATCAGATTCTTTGAAATTATCAGAGAAAAGAAATGATCAGATTCTTTGGTGGTGATGTCTCCAATGTTGTTTTCTAGATGAGGAGATCAAAATACAGTATCCTACTCCTTTTCTGCCAATAGAAGAAATAAAATTAGAGAGATTTGAGCCATCGCTAACGATAATAGAATTGGATGATGTAAGTGCACAGCTGCTATTCACATTCCTCAACAAAAAAAATCCATGAACCTACAGTTATACCTCCATATTATTGTCGTTGCAATTTCTTACATAACTCTTCTAAATTCAAGAGAAATTTATATATGTTTAAATTTAGACACACTAACAAAAATAAGGCAGCATATTTTTTAATGTAGAGTGTAAATTTGTGAGCTAAATTGATATTTCTACTTCATTTTGTGAGGTGAGAAGACATTGCACTGTGCTAACTTATGGGATGTAGTTTGGTGTTCGGTTGGTTTAATGCTGTACTTTATCTGGCTTTTATATAAACCTCAGTTTTGTTATATAGTGTATGTTAAGTAGCATCGAAATAAAAATGTACTTTATAATGTCTATATAAAGGAAGAAATAGCATTTAGGATTTAAGAAGTTTATTATCTCAGTAAGTTGTATAGGAATCCCTAGTAGATACAAATAGAATCATCTAGAAGTGGGGTCCATCAGACAGAGCTAAGAGCCTCTGGCTCAAAAAGGCTTAGGATTTGACAAAAATCACTACATTTCTGAATTTCCAGTAGTCCAGTAACAAAATTAACCATTTGTCTCAGAAAATAATTAGAATGAAGAAAGTACCTGTTCAATGCTTTCTCTTCTTTTTTTTTGTCATTCATGGGGCTTGAAGTCAGGGTCTGTGCGCTGTACTTGATCTCTTTTTGCCCAAGTCTAGTGCTCTACCACTTTTGAGCTGTAGCTCAACTTCCACTTTATGGTGGTTAATTGGAGCTAAGAGTCTCATGGACTTTCCTGCCCAGTCTGACTTTGAACTGTGATACTTAGATATCCTCCTGAGTTGCTATGATTACAGGTGTAAGCAACTCGCGCCTAGCCTTCTTGTTTGGGTTGGTAGTTGATGACATTCTCTTTTGTTTTTCTCTCATTAGCATCATTTCATTTTTTCCTCTGGGTTAGTTTGAAATATTGAGCAAATACCCACATATATATATACATGCATACACACATACATGCTATTTTTTATTTTTTACTGCATTGAATACATTTATGACATAGCAGTCAGAGAACTAGGAACCACTAAATCATGATTTTACTTGATGCTTAGTAGTTATCTAATAAAGTGCACGTTGTTAACTGCAGGCTCCATGTGCACTAGTTGTGACAAAGTGAATGACAATTCCAGCACCCTCAACAACAAAAGAGTTGGATCTGCTTAGTTCTCCTAGAATTGCAGGCTATAATTAGACTACTCATGATGTCATTTGTTGGGAGAAAATGCTCTTAAATAGCACCCATCAGTAGCTGGCTACTGTATAATAAGTCTACTAAAGATATTAATATAATGTTGCATATGTTTAATAAGACTTGTGAAGAGGAACCGGAAGAACAGGGAAATGCCGTGCCTTACAAAGTTGAACTAGTTGATTCAGACAGTCAGCTAAGGTAAGATCTTCCTAAATCACTTGGGGTGTTTACTAAAAACCTAATGTGAATTCCAGGTATATTTTAGATATGAGACCCTTGTCCTCACGTTAAGTTTTACAAGGTTATGTCGAAAAACGAACTTTATAACTTTGGCCGGGGACGGGGAAAGGGGGAGTGGATGGGAGGGGGAGGGGGGAAGAAGGAAGCAGGGGATGGGGGGGGAGAGATGGGAAGCGATGGGAAGGGGAAACAAAGGAGGAGGCAACAATGCTTGATAAGACTCATTACCTTGCCCATGTAATTGTAACCCCTCTGTACAGTATTTTCACAATAAAAAAACCAACCAACCAACCAAACAAACAAAAAAACCTAACGTGAAAATCAATGAACTCTTTCAGTGAGAAATTCATGGGGTCGAACATCTGCCTTTAGTGTTAATTTCACTTATTCATTCTAAAAACTTTGTGTATAACAATAAGTATAATTTTTGGAGGGGAAGGGAAAAAACAAGTTGTTTAAATAGGGATACAAGTAGACCCATTGTAACAGTGAGATGTATATATAGGATGCTATGTCAAAAAATGAACTTTACAACTTTGGCAGGGTGGGGCACATGGAGGGCTCTGGGGGGGGCGGGGGAGAATGGGGAGGGGAGATGGGAATGGGTGGTATGGGGAAACAAAGGAGGAGGCAACAATGCTTGATAAGAAATGTACTCATTACCTTGCTCATGTAATTGTAACCCCTCTGTACAGTATTTTTACAATTAAAAAATATGTGACATCCATCTTCAGCAATTGAAAGAAATGGACTACAGTGATAAGTTTGTATTGTTGCTTCATTTCTGGATTGTTTAGTAGGTTGTTAAGAATTTATGTCATATATTTCATATGAACATTATCCGTGAAAACTGCTCTTTATTTAGTTTGCTATAAATCCTAAATAAGAGGTATGGAAATGATGAAATGGAGAGATTAAAAGAGTTTCTTTACTTCAGATTACTTCTTAGGTAGATTTTAATATCGAATAAACTAATTAAGAATAACACTTTACTTTGTAATTGTTTTGTAGAATTTTATCATGGCCAGTATGAAAAATAATACCTTGTTCTATTTGTTATCAATGTTTCAATCAATATTTCCCTGCCTCTCCTTTTGGCCATTGAGAATGATAAAGTTAGGTGTTTTGTCTACCCATTATTGACTTCAATAAAAAGTAGATTCTTCATGACCTCTGATATATTCTTTTCTTCAAATCAACTTGGGCCTTTCTCCATTTTCTGTGACAGCTCTGGGTCTAATAGTGGCTTTTGCACATACAAGCATTTCCGTCTCTACACATAGATCCAGATATCTGCCATTGATCAATGTGCGTGGGAAGGCAGCATGTGGACAGGAAACAGTTTTCCTCATTAGTAGATAAAAGGTTTTTATTCACTGTGGAATCCTCAAGGAAATGAATAGCATTTTTGCTAATTCTAATTCATGTACATGCATATGTCTGTATATGCACATATTCTTGCTCTTTATTTCCATGTACAATATCAAAAGAATTGGCAAAAGTAATAAATCAAGATGTGGTAGTAGTTTCACAGCTGGGTTTAAACTACTCATGGAATTATATTTATCTCTTTCCTCATGATCATGAGTACTGACACAAGAGGAAATTTTGGTGATGTATATATCCATGATTTTTTTTCAATGTAGAACTTGTGTAAATATCCTTCTACTAAATGTAATATTTGATTCAGAGTAAATGTTATTGAAATGGGTAAGTATCCTTAGGGAGAATAATAATTACTCAAATCAAAATCTAAGTACCACATGGTACTATTTTATTTTATTGTTTGTTTGTACTGTGGTTTTACAATCAGGTTCTTGAATGTGCAAGGCTGGTATTCTACCATTGAGCCATATCTTTAGCCCTGACTTTTTGCTCCCTGACTTGGTTAAGTGCCTGAGCCATGATGCATCCACTTTTGGCCTCCAGTCTTTGTTGGGATCAAGGTGCATTAAATTGATTATTTGGTGCCTTCTAGAAAAATGGAGTTTCAGGAACTTTTCTACCAGGCTGGCCTGAAATCACAGACTTCCCAATCTTAGCATCCTATGTAGCTAGGATTATAGTTCCGAGGCTCTGCCTCATGGTTATTTCTGGAACAAATAACATGTTCATGTGTTAAACCATCAAATTTCAGTGAGCTTTATGGGGACTTCGCCATTGGGAAGAAGGAATGTGCAAAATCAAACATTTTATGCATAGCTATCTATTGAAATTTTGTAGCATAATTGAATTTGATCAGTTACTTATTCCATTAACACATATGATTTATTTATCTGTAGTTTGGACTATGTGAACAATAAAGCTAAAACCAATATCAAGTTACAAAACTGATGTTAATATTGAGGAATCTTTGTTTTAAAAACCAGACTATTTTGTAGTATGTATTTTAACTTTGCAATTGTGCTTGTCTTTGAACCTGGAAGTTTTATATTTCCTGATTGTCAGAAGAGTGGTTTTCCCTATGAAATCGACATCTATCAACATCATGTTACAAACAAGGGGAAAACAGACTTCTCAAGTTTTTGCCTGAGAAGCAGCTCTTCTCAAAGCAAAGTTAATTTCCAAGGTACGGTTTCCTCTTTTTGTTTACAATTATCTACAATGATGTTAGGAGTCCAGTAGGACAGACAAATTCTGGAGGCTATAAAAGTTTGTCCCATTCTGCTTATTTTAAGATAAGAAAATACATCCCTTAGAAGAAAATGGATCTAACATATAACATGGTCTAGCAAATTCTCTTCTTAGTCAATGGGATAATGTACACCAGAAAAAAGCCAATCTCGAGTTCTTTCTAAAAGATATTCTAGACTCAATTAGCAATGAAAAGATTAAATAGATGAACTTGTACTGACAACAGTCATAATCCAACCTGTTGTCCTTACTTTCAACTAAATATTTCCCTGGGCTTGAAATATTCCCTTAAAAATGATGCAAAGATTTGTAGAAGATAAAGCCTACAACACATTTTCTTCAAGTGTCGTTGTTACTAGGAGTTCCTTGGTTCTCCAGGTTAGTATACTACGTGCAAATGCCTAGTTTTACTCTCCTGATTGTGAGAAGGCTTTCTAGAGTCGTGTAAGTTATCTTAGGCCAGGAGTCAGCTTTGGTGTTCATTCATTTCACTCTGAATCAGCATCAAATGTCATTGCTTCCCTTATACCTAATTTTGTTGATCTCAATATAAGAATCAGATAATCTCCAATCTTCCTTTCCACTCAAACATTACACCTGGCTGATCCAACACAAAGAAAAAGGATATTTCTTATGTGAACAACCTGAGAGATTCTAGGAGTACTATAATTTGTAAACCTCATGATTACCTTCCAATTGGGATAAGAGAAAGTAGGAAATAGGTAGATATAGGGGAATCTTTCTGTTCTGGCCATTTTCAGTGACTAGAAGCTCTTAAATCTTTAGGGCCAAGTATGAACTGTACCTGCTTTGTAATTCAAGCCTTTATTATGCTCCAGATCTGATCAGAAATGAGGGTTGTTTGACAGGGGAGCATCAGATTCCAATATCCCATGGGAAAAATAATGACCAAATAATTCTTAAAGACATTTTCAAATGATTTATTCTTAGAGTTGTTTTCGGTGTGTATCAGAATTGAGCAGAAATCATGGTATTCCTGTAGGCCTTCTAACCCCACACCTGCATTTTCAGGATCACCACTGTACCACACAGTGTTTGCAATTTTACCAATAAACAATATTCAATTAATCAACTGTAAATGTCTTGATTGATTTCCTTACTGAAGGGCATATTGGCTGTTTGTAGGCTTTCTCAATTATGAATGAAATTGATATTCAAAACCACATGTGGACTTTTAATAAGACACTATTTTATTGCATTTGTGAATATACCAAGGGAAATGTAAAAGTATAGTGGGCTTAGAGCTAGGTGTTTGTGGCTCATAACTATAATCATAGCTCTGTAGGAGGCTCAGATCTGAGGATAACAGTTCGAGGCCAAATTTAGCAGAAAATTCAGAGAAATTTGTACAGCAAAATGCAGGACTAGCGGTGAAGTCCAAGTGGAAGAGCACAAGTCATGACAAAAAAAAGCTGAGCTAAAGTTTCAGAAATAGTACAAAAAATAGGGTATATTTAGGTTTGTAAGAAATGGACAAAGTGGCTACCCAAGTGGCTACAAAGTACCTCAACCACTTTTGATGGCAGTGTTTCAGATTTATTCTACTGTAGTACTTGTGATGGCTCATTGTTTGGTTTACAAATCCTTAATGACATGCTTGCAAATGTTTTTTTTTTTTTTTTTGGTAGTACTGGGGCTCACACTCAGGGCTTTACTTTCTTCCACTCTTTTTCCACTCATAGCTGTTAGTCTACCACATTGTCACTCTACCACATTTCCAATTTTGTCTTTTTCCTGGTTAGTTGAAGATTTTCTGGTTAGTTGAAGTTTCTCTGATTTGTCTGTGCAGGCTAGCTCTGAATCTCAATCTTCAGATCTTAACTTCCTGCTAGGATTACCGGAGGGAAACATCAGTCAGCATTTTGAACAGTTTTTAAAACATTTATTTGTGTACATATGTGTGTGTAAAATGTGTGTATGTGTATAGGACAACTATATTTTTGTGTATATAGAGACCCATATAGACATGTATTCTAAATTTTACTGCAAAATAGCCTCTTACCAACTTCATTAGTCTAGTTCATTAGCATATGACTATAAATAAATTGTGCTTGCCACTTACGAATATAAGCGTAATGGAAGTATTTTAACATTGAATCCTCAGAAACGAAATTATAATAGAGTTTTGATAAATCAAATCTGGGATTATGAACAACTTAATCAAGTGACCGAAATCCATTTGTTTACCTCTTGTAAATATGTGCTTTCCATAGCGGGCCTGTCAGAGACAGATGCTGACAGCACCGTGGATAAACATGTTCATTCATTTGACATGGACAACCCAGGGGAAAGTAGTACTCACCCAAGAGATGGAAGAGAAAAATCTATCAGCATGGAAAGTAACAAAACGCCAAATGATGGCTGTGCGGCACTGGTGAGCAAGGACTCCTTTGTCAGAATCGATGTGAATACACCTTCCATGGAGGAGAAGTCATGTGACGACATAGATCCAGGGGAATTCTCTGAGTGCAGCAACCTGCCTGGAAGGCCTCATCTGGGAGATTCTAAAGCTCCAAAGTCACCACCGGTGAGTGTCTTTTATACTTATTGCTGTAATGATTACATGCGTAAAGACTCTCTGAAGAAAACGTCACTTTGATCCAGTGCATTCTTATATGTTCCTGTGTCCTACAGCTGCACTTACCATCAGCTAACTCAACATCAAATGAAGAGCAACTTCTATTGATGAGGAAGAATAGTTAAGATTTACAGAACCCATTCTATCAGGGAGAGTGCAGTTTTAATAAAAATCATTTCTACTCCAAAGAAATAGGGCTCAAGTGACTCATTATTATCACATGTAAAATTATATTTAAAATCTATTCTATATGCTAGAATCTTCAGTAATTGTGATAGTAATAAGTGACTTGGAAATTGGGTAAATTACACCTTTTCATAACTCTTTATATTTATTGAAAATGGATTTTTTGGAGACTGAACCCAAAAGTGAACAAAAATGCCGAGGAAGGAATATTGTGGCTGCTGCTATGATACTTTAGCTTGGGGAGCTTGCTTTCTGCTCCCCACTTTGTCAGAGATGTGGTGACGCTGGGTGACTTCTATGGGAGTAATGTCCTCCATGGAAAACCCAGAATCTTAAAGGTCAGCTGGGGAGAAATGACCGCAGGGGAAACATGGGGAAAGGAAATGGAAGCCTGCAATTTATAATTGGATGTGAATTCTGACTTCTTTCCCCTCATGAAAAAAAATTAAACCAGCTTATGTGGTTATGTTTGCAGGTGAAATTTTAAGAAGCTATAACAAAATCGATATTCTAATTGTTCAACTTTTGGTGGAACAGGTAAAAAGCAAAAATCTCTCCAATGTTTTCCAAGGCTACTTTAACTTTGATGGAGAAATTGGGAAAAGACTATACCCAACTCCATAAATTAAGACGTCAGAGCATAATAGCAACTCTACTCCAGGATGTTATGTACCAAAAACAACAATAAAAGCCCTCTATTTGGAAGATCCAGATACTTAGTGGGCATCATAAAATTATGATAAATATTTTTTAAATTTATGAATAAAGTATACATTCCATTATCCTAACACAGGATGTCTTATACACTCTCACAGGTACATAATCTATGTTTGCAGAATGCAAAGTGATACAGTGATTAAAACGAAGGGATTACAACTACTTCCATTAAGACAGATGACATGTTTCAGTTTAACTGTAGATGGATTTGTAGAGTGTAAATGTTACACCATTCTATAAGCATTTACAATCATTACAATTTTTTTATGGATACTCCTAAGGAAATGGGTTGAAATACTTTGAAATAGTGTATCAACACAACATAATATGCAATTAAACTGAATTTATAAAGACTAAAAGGTCTTTTAAAGTATAGTTTTTATAGTTTTATACTTTTATAAAGTATAGTTTTATAAAGTGTATATGTCTAAAACAAAATCTTAAATTCGAGTGGTTATACAAAAGGGCTGGCTCTTTTTCTAAATAAAGTAATATTTTAATGAATTCCAGTGTAATTGTAATTGAGAAGTAAAAAATAGTGGCAGTATTTTCACACACACACAAATGTCTACCCCTTGTAATAAGCAATTTTTCCTGAGTAGTAAGGAAGAAAGACAATCCATCTGTGTTATGAATAATTGGTGAGTGCCAGCTATGGAGACCTTTAACAGAGTTAAGGAGAGAGCCACCCGTAGGATATCTGTAAACCAAGAACTTTCTAGACTGGCCATTGGAAGCATTAAGTTCTCAATTAAGGTTAGAGACTGCACTCTTGCTTTGGGAGAATTCATTAAATCCATTTTGATTAGACTTGAACTGTTCTTTTTCTTGTTTTCCTCTGGTAGAAGCTATTTCCTGAGAAGAAAGCATGTAGGAACCCATCCTATTCCAGAAAAATAATCATGATCCAAGAAGCAAGGGTGTTTTTTAAGCTTCTGTGTTTCCTGAAAGAATCTGAGTACTACAACTGTTCCTTTGTAAAGGGGTGTGTGTGTGGAACATTCTATTGGGTCATGCATTAAGTTGTGTGTAATTAAGAGTATTTTTGGTTCTAGTTCTGAAACATCCACTCGAATAAAAATGAAAATGCAGCCGCTATAAGTTTTTGGATGACTAAGCCAAGACTTTGAAGATATTCCCACATTTACAGTTGTATAATACAAATGGGAGTTTCTTAGGGCTGAAGGAATTTGATATTTGATGATCAAAATTTGAGAGAGCTGGGAACAATGTCCTGGAAGAGCAGACTTGGATTTGTCTTTGAATGTCATGCATAACTGAGTACTAGTTTGGAATTCTTTTCATTTGTATGGTTTATAAATTTATATAGAGCTATAGAAGTTGGTTGTGCATTGTTTAATACTTTGACACAGACTATTCTTGGGCATTAATTGGGTTATTTAGGGAACTGTTAATACCAGTAACTTCTCTGATTGTATTTTTAGTTCAACTAGAGAGCCTCTGTATTATCTATTTGTTTCTTTCTATATTGACATACGTTTAAAATCCCTATTTCTAGTCTACCCCACAACAAGAGGTTATACCTAAGCTTCAAATGAACACAATCTCTATTTAAACTTAGTCCGATAGTTTCTAGTTACAGAAAATCTGTTACTTCTTTTCTGGTTGCCTCAGGTTCTTAGTCGTGTATTTGCTTCATGATTATTATTTTGGTAATTGCATATTTTTATTTATGACTATTATCAAATCTGATATAGTCTAATTGGCAGTTTACTTTCATCTTTTGAAATTACTATATTTTTAGACACTAGTTTAAGGACAGTAGTTAAAAGACACTGTGTACTAAAGGGACTATGCTCAGATAATTTTTGTAGAAAGGTATAAATGAAAGAAGGAAGACAGAAAGGAAAAAAATATTTCCTAAACTCATGTCTTCCTTAGATTGATGGCAACTTTCAGATAATTATGGTTTATATACTTCTCAGAACATTTTGTATATAAACATTGTGTTAGTATGTCTCCATGATTAGAACATAAATGCTAGAGCAGAACTTGGACTAGTATGTGGGAAGGTGTTTCAGTAAACAAATGCTCTTCTTTGTTATAATAAAGGAGAAAATAAATTTTTTGAATATTTTGTTTCCTAGTTGTTAAAAGAAATAGCCCTCAGAAGTAAACCTATAACTGAACAATACCAAGGACTTGGGAGATTCTTTACTGTTAATAACGATGAAAGACTCAACTTACCTCCTTCTCATGAAAGCTTAGAAAGCAACCATTCCTCTACCCAGGTTATGATCACAGGTAAATATGGAATTAATTTAATAATTAATTTAAATATGGACCAATCTAACAAATTTCTCAGTTTTTTCAACTAAAAACATTAAGGTTTTTGCCATTTATGTGAGGGTTTCATTATTGCTTCTGTATTCTCCTTTATTGGCTAAATTATGCTGTTTTTATTATTATGTCTTTGTGGTATAAGAAATAGAAATGTAAATCCTTCAGCTCTTGTTTTGTAAGCTTGCTTTGGCTGTTTAGAATGACTTGTGTTGATATATGAATTTTACACTATTTTTTTCTATTTGTGCAAAACAATGTCATTGAGCTTCTGATAGGAAGTGGGTGGCAAATATAAATTCTTTGGGGTCACCTGATGTGTCGCACTATTAGGTCTTGTGGTCCAAGCGGAGGGATAGGATTCACAATGACATCCTCTTATCATTTTGCCATTCTAGGAGGCAAAGAATGGGTTCCAGACAGGAGTATAAGTTCACATGCGGACAGCGTGGTTACCTCAGGTGTCGTGCAGAATCCATCACCAAATATGAAGTCACAAAAGAGAGGTAAGACCTGAAGCAACACAGCAATGCCACGATGGCTCTGTTTATAAAGTTTGTTGTGCATTGTTTAACTGGTTGACACAGATTATCCTTGGGCATTAAATGGGTTATTTAGGCAACTGTTAAATACCAGTACCTTCTCTGATTGTATTTTTAGTTCAACTAGAGTGCTTCTGTATTACCAATTTGCTTCCTTCTATATTTACTTTTTAAACTCCTGTATCTAGTCTACCCCACAACAAGAGGATATACCAGAATGGATTATGATTTATTCATTTGTTTCTTAGCAGTTCACCGGGAAACTGAATATTAGTTTTTGCAGTAATATTCCATCTTATGATGTAATAAACATAGCTTTGCTTCTAAAACCAACCATCCAACCAGTCAACCAACCAATCAATTGTAAATACAAAAAAGGGGAAAAACCACCCTAGAAGCAAGTATATACATTATTCCTCTCAAAAATGAACCCCTAAAGATTTAGTCTTTATTTTCTCTAATGATGAATTAAGGAATGATATTTGTAAAACAGAGTTCTAGATATAGTGCATTTTGAGCAATACTCACAGAACACACTCCATTTCTTCTCATGCTAGAGCAGCATTGGGTTATGCTAGACATCCTGCACTGGTGAACTAAGGCAAGTCAACACAAACATGATGGGTGTGCGGTGAGTATGCTTAGCCCTGGGGACAGATGCCTTGTTCACATTTTCTTGGTCCTAGAAAGCTCACAGAAAAGGAAGGATAATTAAGAAGGTAGGGATTTGCCTTGGTTTAAAACTTCTCCAAGCCAGAAACTTAATTTCATATGATTTGACACACATTTATATATAAAATATATGTATATGTATGTATGTATCTATCGATCTAGCTATATGATTTATGTCTGTCTTACCTCACATACATGAATACATCTCTTTGCTTACTCTTGATCATTTCTGTATGCCCCTATGTTGTGAATTCATCAGACACATTTTTTTTGCAGTAGAAAAACCACCTATTTATGACAAATATTTTTTGGCTTTATACTTTGGCACCTATTATCACATTAATTCTAAAGCAGTCTGAAACATCCTGGCATCTTTTGAGACAGTCCAAATGAACTGCTTCAAGTGGCTACAAATCATTCAGATTAAATGCATGTGCATACTCTGAAATGTGTGTGTGGTGTGTGCATGCATGCATGCGTGTGTCCTCTAGTACTGTAATGGGGCTTGAATTCAGGGCCTGGACACCATCTCTGATCTTTGTTGCTCAAGGTTAGCACTCTACCACTTGAGGCACAGCTTGTATCCTTTTGGTGGTTAGTTGGAGGTTAAGGGTCTCACTGACTTTCCTGTCCAGATGGGCTTATAAATGCAATCCTCTGGTCTCTGCCTCTTGAGTAGCTAGGATTACAGGAGTGAACCACAGACACCTGCCCGTCACCAGCTCCTGGCTCTGAGAAATATGTTGCAAATGCACATCTTAGCAAATGCTTTTAAAGTATCAATTTGAACAGATCAGTCACAGTCAGTAATTGCTATTAGAAACATTAGGTCCACTTAACTTTCAGCTAGGCACTGCCAGACAGAGATGATATTTGATGTGACACAGCCCTGTGTCCTGACTCAAGAACTAGAAGCCAGTGTAAGAGGTTTTCCCAGGTCAATGATAGCAAATCACCTGGAAAAATCCAGTCCTGCAGATGCCACATTCTGGAGATCACTGTTAAACAAGCAGATTCCTTTAGACTGGGAACAGATTCTTTTAGCCAACAACTCTCTGTTAGATCAACGTTCATATTGTGAGCTCGTGCCAGCGAATAAAGGGATGCCACCTCCTGTAGGATCTCAAATTTTCTAAGTGTAAAAATATCGTAGCTACTAAAGTGGTATTCAGCATCTAGCCCATTGATTTTTTTCCTTTACTCTGGGCTAGTAGCTACCCCTCCCCCCCCACCTTCCTGACTCCATCCTAGAAACATACTTAGTCTGACTTTGGAATCACCTTGACTCCTACTTGCCCAAGCAGCTGCCACACTTTTTCATTAGTAAAAGCTGATGATTTCTGTTTCTCAATCCAGCCCAAGTCTACCCACATCACCTCCATTGTGCTTGTGAACCTAAGCCAATTACTACCATCTCTTACCTGCCTTCCAATATCCCTTGAGCACTTTTCCCAAACCACCTTGCTGTGGTTTATTTTCATCAAGAGCTACTATGTACAGCTAGTGAGTAAATTGTTGATATTTATAGTTTGAAAATATTTCTATTTATTCATATTTATATATTTATCCGTAGCATATCATTTCTGCAGAGTGAATCATACTTTCTGTAGGTTGTGACCATAAATAGAATCACGTTATTCTGCTGCCTACAAGGATGCTTCCTACAGAAGGTAGTAGCAAATTACCTTCCTTCCCATACATCCACAGCCATACCAATGACTTCTTCTCCCCCACTGAAGTCACACTGGTTTCTGTCTGGTCCATCAGGCCAGGCTCTGTCCTCATCAGAAGGATGCCCCACAACCTTCCACTCCCTCCTAATACAATCAGTTCTTTCTTAATCCATTCTTTCTGCAATCGATTCTTTCCCACTCCTGAGTGACAAATCCAGTTGCTGGCTCTCTAGAGAGGTGTTTGAGACCCTCCTATCCTGTCTGGAGTCTCTCTTGTCATTTTCATCTTCCTCAGAGAATCAATCATGGTCGTTTGGCATTGTCTTGGATATTTCTGCTGTCTCCCAACTTGGTTAGAAAAGGAGTGAGTGCCAACCTGTCCTGTTCAGGACCTGGCACACTGCAGCATCTCAGCCAAGGTTTCTGAATGTGGGGAACTCAGATCTGTGAGTTCAGGAAGAAAGTGCTGGTAAAACGTGAAGACTTGAAGGTAGGGACAGTCTTATTCACTTTTACAGATCCTGATTGTGATACCGTGCCTGGCAGTTTTAGGAGTTAAGAGCTGACTTGAAAATTGAATTGGGTTGAGTGTTAATTCATAGGTTCTCAGAGTTGGAGGGAGTTGAGGCCACTGTCCCATTCCTTAATTTTACAGTTGAGATAAGGGTTGCCATGTTCCAACTCTTAACCTGATCCCTAGGTCAGTGGGACCAGACCTTTGGTCTGACAGGCCCAGTTCACTTCCAATGTAACTGGTCAATATTCACTTCCTTATGTAACTCCAGAACTCTTAACAGTTCACTTGCTGTTTTGCTGAGATGACCTTTTCAAGGTGAAACAAGTATATCAATACACACAAATGCTTGAAAACATTATTTTTAAAATATTGGATTCTTGGTTCACAACAATATTATTATGTTACTAAAGTGATGTTGAAACAATTTTGTTTCATTAAATGCTCCTGTTACAATAAACTATCAAGAGCACTGTGGTGGCATTGAATATGATCCAGAGAGTGATATATTTTTTTCATATTCTTACCAGCATTTTTGTGCCCACTAATATTATTGGCATTTATCTATCTAGTGTTCATTGGAGTTTCGTTAACTACATACTGAGCATCTATCTTTTAGCTAAATCCAAGGAAAATTTATTTTGTTATATTTATGGTGTAATGGATTCTATTAATCATTTCTTAAGATTACATAGCCAGTGATAGCACAAGTTATTCCAAAGGTAATATTTTATGGTTGTAATGTACAAATGGGGTTATTTATTATTATTATTATTATTATCATCATCATCATCATCATCATCATTATCATGGTGTGGTCACTTCAACAGAGGCATTTTTCATTAGTGCCATCTTAATGTTGGGTCCAATCCGTACCTTGGCAATAATATTAATAAACTTATGAATTTAAAGACAGCAGAGAATTATTTACTTACCTCAACAAGAGAATAAATAAAATCAAGGACCGAATTGGGGCTGCTTCTATTTTGTTATCTGTTTTTGGTTTCTGTAAACCACACTGGAGTGCATTTCCAGTAAGAAAGATGTTCAGTCTCCTGCTGCATGCTAAGCCTTAGTCTGACCCATCCCCTGTGTATATATTTTTTTCCTCAATTGGGCTCAATTAGCCTCAGTAGCTGTGCTATCCAGATGCTGCTGTAAAAGTTCAGCTACTGTTGTACTCTCCTGAGTTTTCTGAAGGGCATCTATGTTATTTTAAATTTTCCTCACTTCCTGTTTTCCCTGCATTGGCAGAAGTCCAGTCCTTGCTAATAATATCTTCCATTTGTTCCTATTTTAATAAGCGTTCTGAATTGAATTAACTTTTGCCTTGGTTGAGACCTACCATAAGGAATGTCGTTTCCTCATAGACCAGGCCCTTTGCATTCTGTAGAGAATTCGTGTGGTAACCCCAAGCTGGAGATGTTCCTGTGGCATTTCTACGGGGGCTTCCCAGCTAGGAGTGGTAAGCTTACTCTCCTTGGTAGCTGGGAAGGAACTATTTATTCTTTGCATGCTGTGAATGAAATGGGAAGCCTCTTCCAGATTCTGTGCATGAAAAGGATGCTTTGGAAAGAGGCAGAGATAGGAACACGACAGCACAAGCCTGGTTTGGGAAAAAGCTAAGAAGTGCCCGTCACAGAAGCCAGAAGTGATGGAAGTCTCCAGTGATCACAGCTAGTTGAGTGGGGGGAAAGCTGGTGGGTCATGGTCTGAGACTAACTGGGATGAAAGTACAAGAATATATCTAAAAAAAAACAACTACTAAAAAGATTGAGGGTATGGCTCAAGTGGTTGAACACTTACCCAGCATGTATAAGGCCCTTAGTTAAATCTCAGATCTCTACCAAAAATCCCCTTAAGGATATGTATACATTTGTATATACAATACTCACATTGACATACATTATATACACACAGATAGAGACATCTGTGTCTATGCATATATGCTTATACATACACATGGATATATAAATACATACATGTGTTAAATATCTCTATATAAATGTATATACATGTGTATACACATGATATGACTTACGTGAATATAGGGATAGAGTATTGTCAGTTATTTTTCTTCAGAATAGTCTCTGAGCACAAATACCCCTGAGGTATCTCAGAACCAGATGAACCCTGTCCGTACAGTGTTTCTGCACCTTTAAAAGTACAGGAAAGTACCACATGTAGCAGAGAATTACCTGGTGTTCTAGGAAGCTAGAACTTTGACTTCAATGGCTTTGGAGCTTGGGTTTTGCTTACGAACTGACATATACTTTTTCCAATGGCCTATTTTTTTTTATTGTGAAAATACTGTAAAAGGGGTTACAATTACATGGGCAAGATAATGAGTACATTTCTTATCAAGCATTGTAGCCTTCTCCTTTGTTTCCCTTTCCCATCCCTTCCCATTCCAATGGCCTATTTTGTCCCTATCTTTTATTAAAAATAAGACCGAAACGCGCTAGTAGCGGTGCTGTGTTTGTCCTTAGCTTTCCCCGGCTCTCACAGCACATGATGGTAGAGCTCTGCAACTTAAAATCATGGCTTGGATAGATGTGAAGATTGTGTGTTGTGCAGTGTGATGTTGACTTGTTTTGCTTTAGCTAATGCTATTCTTTAATTAAGGACAATCGGTCTGTCTTCTGATCATAGCAAAACCACTCCGAAGTGTTTTCTTTGTGTGACTCTTGGAAAAGAATTTGAGATTAACATACTTTGGTCAGCCAGAAAACCAAGGCTTGGTTTTCTTCTAAATTGCATGTGTTTTATTTCCTTATATTCAAGGGGGGTAGTCTTTTGCATTGTTAAATTTTCACTCGGAAACTTAAAAACAGTTGATTTAATGTGTGTGTGTGTGTGTGTGTGTGTGTGTGTATGCTGGTACGAGGGTGTGAAATCTGGGCCTTGATCTTACTCAGCTTGCTTGTTCATAGATAATATTTCATCATTTGACCCATGACCCTAGCTCAACCTTTGGCCAGCCAGCTGAGCACTAGAGTCTCCCAGACTTTTTCCTCAGACTGGCTCTGAACCTTGATCTTCTTCATCTCAGTCTCCTGAGTAGCTAGGATTTCATTTCATCAGCACCCAGATAACTATTATATGTATATTTTTGTATTTTTGTTCTAGTTCAGAAATCACATCGACCTTCAACAGCAAATTTGCCACTTTCCAGCTCTGTTAAGAAAAGTTCCTGCCTTTTATCCCCTCGTCCTCGATCCAGCACAATTGCTGCCGGGCCACCATCTAGAGCAGCTTCTGCAATCTCCGAAATTGAGTATGTTGATAGGACAGAGCACAATGAGCCTTCCTTAGATAACGCTGCAGATCTGCAAGCCTTAGACTCCCTACAAGAAGAGTTAAACGTGCTGAGAAATCTGGCAGGTAATGCTATATTTTTCATGCTCGATAATGTTAGCGCTGCCCCTAGCCTCATTCTTTACATGTTGCTATCACAGAACAAACAAGCATTAAAAAATATTTTCTCTCTTTTATTGAAAAACATCCACCTTTGTGTTTGCTTCCTTGGATATCACCTGGTAACACCTTGGAGAAATGTATTAAATATGTGACTCACAGCCATGCCATAGACAGACCCATTCAACTCACATAACACGTGACAATGATGGACGGTCCCTTTCGGGCAGAGAGGAAAAAAGTAATCTTTATATGTCACTCACTTTTTCTCCAGTAGTTTGTTTTTGTTGTTTTGGTTTTTGTTTCTTTTCTTTTTTAAATAAGTTTTTTTTTATTGTGAAAATACTATACAGAAGGGTTACAATCATATGAGCAAGGTAATGAGTACATTTCTTATCAGACATTGCTGCCTCCTCCTTTGTTTTTCTCCTACCATCCCTTCCCTCCCACCTCCTCAACTACACTTCCCCCACCCCTGCCTAAATTGTAAAGTTCGTTTTTCAACATAGCGTCTTGTACATCTCCTTGGTGCAATGGGTCAACCTGTATCCCTATTTAAACAATTTGTTTTTCCCTTTCCACTCTCCAAATTATACCAAAGTCAAATACAGTGAAAACAGGGGTTATACCAGGGGGGAGGGACATACAAAGCAACAAAAAAAAATTGCATGATACCTTATACATTCATTAGAAACAATAGCAAGAAAAAAAAACTCTTGTGTCCTTATCTTGGGGTTCATTTCGGTTAACATCATCTTATCTGACCTTTACTGCTTGTCTCAGATATATATTAGTTATTGTAAATAAGGGAAACCATGGGATCAATGTTCTTTGCACCTGGCTAACTTCACTTAACATATTTTCCCCCAAGTCTTTCCATTTCCTAACTAGTTTAATTTTAAAGTTTTTCCTTTTCATTTACTATGCTTATCTCCAGCTTTTCTTCTATTTTAGTATTTATCTGCTTCTCTCTCCATTCTTCATCATTTTCCTTTTTTAAAAGAAATTATTTTTATTTTTTTGCCAGTCTCAGTGCCTTGGCACTGTCCCTGAGCTTCTTTTTGCTCAAGGCTAATACTCTACCACTTGAGCCACAGCGCCTCTTCTGGCCTTTTCTGTGCATGTGGTACTGAGGAATTGAACCCAGGGCTTCATGCATGCTAGGCAAGCACTCAACCACCAAGCCACATTCCCAGCCTTTTTAATTTACTTTTAAAAATGATTATTACAAAGGTGATGTACAGAGTAAGGTAAAAAGTGTCTTTCATTTTGGACAATGTTATCATATAACTTAAATGAAAAGTAGTGTCTTAAAGGGATTCCTTTATTTTTTAATGACTCTTTTGATAGCTTTTTATTTTGTTGTAATTGCAATCCTATGGAAAATCTGAAAGAAATGCAAAAATAATACAAAAAACTCTGTGTATAAAATTTGCCCATTTCAACCCTCTTGGTCTCTGTCTCTGGGTCTCTCTCTCCCCTCTCCTTCATGCATACACACACACACACACACACACACACACACACACAGAGAGAGCTCTATCATAGATATCACCAAAAATGTTTCTGTGCATACTTTCTAAGTGAAGTAAACCAGGCCCAAAGAAAACATAGGTCCCATGGTTTCCCTTATTTGCAATAACTGGTGTACATCTGAGATAAGCAGAAAAGGTCAGATAATATGATGTTAAGTGAAATGAACCCCAAGATAAGGACACAAGTGGTTTTTTTCTTTTTTCCTATTGCTTCTTATGTATTTATAAGGTACCACATGATTTTTTTTGTGGCTTTGTATGTCCCTCCCTGACAGTATAACCCCTGTTTTCACTGTATTTGGTGTTTGTATAATTTGGGGAGGGGATGGGAAAAAGCAAATTGTTTAAACAGGGATACAGGTGGACCCATTGCAACAATGAGATGTACAAGACCTTATGTCGAAAAATGAACTTTATAATTTAGGCAATTTGGGGTGTGTGTGTGTAGTTGTGGAGATGGGAGGGAAGGGATTGTAGGGGAAAAACAAAGGAGGAGACAACAATGCTTGATAAGAAATGTACTCATTACCTTGCTCATGTAACTACACCCCCTCCTTTGTACAGTATTCTCAGAATAACAAAACTTATTTAAAATAATAATATTAAAGGACAATAAAAAGTTAACACGGCTACAATGTTATTCTCCATTCCATAGGACTTATTTAATTTTTAAAATATGTTAATAATGTTTGCTACAGCTTTCTGTTATTTGGCATAAAGATCCATTCAAGAAATGGAGGACCATTATATAACTTCATCTTTGGTGCTTGAAATGTTGTGTGATCTTTGAGATCAATTTTACTCTATTTAAGTTTGTCTTTGTTACTTCTTTTATAGCCAAAGGATGTGTGGGTTCTAATGTGTGATTTTGATGTACTTTTTTCCATTGGACCCTTGGATTCGTCTGGGAGGGCAAAGTCAGCTTCTGTGTCGTTTCTTGGTGTCTTTCTGGCATATGCTTATTGTGGAGTGCTGTGTTTTTATCTTCTATCTTTTCTGATAAGAATGAAAATAAGTTAATGCTGAACTCCTTGGCCCTGTAGTGAGATTGGTCAGTGTTTTCTATGAGTTTCTGCATGGGGTTAGATTTCATATTCTTTTAGGGAGCCAGCCAGCTTAAAGGTACTGGGAAGAGGACAAGACTGAGATCAGAACATCTCAGCTTGCTTTCCTTTCTTGAAATCTCATTAAACCTTTCCTTTGGATCAGGCTTCAAGCATGCTGTGCCTCTGGGACATCTACAAGTCTCTAGATTTTTTTTTTGTGCTGCTGAAATCTTGTAGTGTTTTAGAGGCTTTAAACCGATTGTGGATGCACGTTCCTTACGTTCCTTCACTCATGTGTCTCCGGGCTACCATGGTAGAGATGAGACTTTTGGTTCCCTTTTTCCTTTCCTTTTCCTGTTGCTAGGTTGAGGCCAGGCTATTGGGTGGGTGGATGAGATAAGAGAGAATGCCACCCAGCCACACCATAGTAAATCTTGTCTCTAATTCTGGTTGTCCTGTGTCAAAATTTATTTTGGGAACTCTGTCTCTATTTGATTCTTATGTGTTTGTTTATATAAATAAATGAGGACTCATTAGTTTTTTTTTAAGGTGAAGGTTTGTGGCTCATGTGTTTTTCCCTTTTTTTTCCCCTTTTGAACTTGGGGGATGTCCCTGAGCGCTTTTGCCCAATGTTAGCTCTCTACCACTTTGAGCCACAGCGCCACTTCTGGTTTTCTGGTGGTTAATTGGAGATAAGAGTCTCACTGACTTTCCTGCTGGGACTGGCTTTGAACCATGATCCTCAGATTTCAAACCTCTTGAGCAGCTAGGATTACAGGTGTTGAGCCCCCAGCACCCAACTTATTTATTCCTCTTAATTACTAAACATTGGAATTAATCAACCTGAAAAGGATTCTTAAAATAATTCTTACAATTGCTTCCGAAATGAAGCACAGTCAAGGTCTGAACTAATTCTACAGATCCTAATTGGAAAATACAAGCCTTTTATGTTGACAAACTGATAAATCCCATCATTTACAAAGAAAAGATAGAAGTAAAGCAATAATAGTGTTTTTTATTTTCTTTTTAGTTCATTTTAGCTTTTCCTTTTTTCTCTATTATTTTTCTTTCTCAAGAGCTTCGTTCTGGAACAGCAGTGTCAGTGTTTTCACTAGAATACAACACTTCCCCCAGCCCCGCCCCCCCAGTAGAGGCCTTCCCATAACTTCTGCACTGGAGGCCTCTCCTGAGGTTCCTCCACAGAGGCTCACACACGTTAACCCAGGGTTGGTTCACTTCCACGGGGAAGATGGAGTTTGGATGAGTGCAAGTTCTGAGGAAGGGAAATGCGGTCAGTCATCCGGGTGGACTCAGGAATCACTGAGATAGCAGTTGCTCAAGTGAATTAAAACCACAATGATTCTACACAAGAAAGATTCCATGGGGGGCAGAACTTCCCATCCCTTTCACATCTCATGATGCCTTCTGCAAAACTCTTTGTGAGGTCTGGCTTCAGGAAGCCACCCTTGAACAAAAAGTACTCGTGCCTGCCTCCCATGAACGATGTCTGTGTGATGAGCAACTGTTCTGCTCTGTTTTCTGCTCGTCCGGGCTGATGGCCTCCTTTCTCTTCCTAACCTCCTTGAGAAACAAGTACTCCAAAGAGCACAGAGAATAAAAGGCAGAAAATACACCATTTCTCCTTTCCTTCAGGTTGCTATAGCTATCAGAGGCTAGTGCTGAACTGGCTGTTGTGAACAGATGTGTGTGTGTGTGTTTGTGTGTGGTTTGTGTGTGTGAGAGAGAGGGGAGACAGGAAGAGAGGAGAGAGAGAGAGAGAAAGATTGAGAGAGAGAGAGAGAGAGAGAGAAAATAGAGTGTGCAGGCTACAAGTGAAAGTTATCTGATTAGACCAGAGACAGCAAATTAAGGTTGTTGAAGGCCAGGGCCAGCTCTTAAGAAATCTGGTTTGGAAAGTAGATATCCTCATTAACTCCATGTTAGTGGACAGATTGTTTTCTTATTTCTTCAGTGTATGTGTGTGGGAGAAAGGGATGGTTCTGGGGCTTGAACTCAGGTCCTGTGTCACACCAAGCTACTTTTGTTTTTTGCTCATGCTTAGCGTGCTCTATTCCTTGAGCCACAACTTTACTTCCAGCTTTCTGGAGATAGATCTCAGGGACTTTTCTGATTAGACTATCTTCAAACTATGACAATCTGATCTCAACCTTCTGAGTAGCTAGGATTACAAGCATGAGGTATTGGTGCCCAGGTAATACCTCTCTCATGCTCACTAATCTCTTCTTTTATCTCTCTGTCTCTGTGTGGCTCGGTTTCTATGGATCAAAGCTAAATATAATGAAGGATCTACCTAAAACCATTGATGATTGAATGAAATTATGTATGAATATTCTATTTGGGAAATTTTCTCTATCTTCCCATATAACTGGTAGAGCCTACCCTATAGTCATTCCTCAAACACTGATGAACTACAGAAGAAAGCTTTCAGTGTGATTTCCCACAGACAATAAGGTAGGGTATTCTTATGAGACTTAAGTTTTAGTTGGCTCTAAAAACTGTGTTCTTATGTGTTGCTTCGGGGTTCTATTTATTATTCCTCCCACAGATATCTTTGTAAATCACACACTCTTCCCCTTATTAATGAGCTGAAGGTATCAGCGTAATCTACTTACTGAGGTACCTTATCAGTTTGGAGATATTGTGAAAACCTGGGGAAATTTACAAAAAATGCATTATGAGAAAGTATTAGTAAAAAAAGGCAGTTTAAAATATTTACTTCTTCAATAGCCCAGAGAGATTCATTTGTTTGAAATTCACAGTTATTTATGGCTTAAGGGTATTAGTGGGTCTCGAGTCCTCGTAGAAATCTTTATGTTTTGCATAAGCCAAGAGCTGGTTCACTGAACTAACTAATCAAGGAGAGAAAGTATGTTTTTCTTAAACTAGAAAAGATACATTGAAAAAAACAAAACTAAACTTAACCTGACCCTGGCTGGAACTGGAGCCTCTGTTCACAAGTTGATCATTAAATTATAAATGGAGCTGTGAAGGCCAATAAAGGTGTATAGGTATCAAATTAAGTATCCATCCAGTACAAAGGCAGCAGCTTTGGTGGCTCTACTGACAGCCATTCAGCTTCTTGATGACTTCAATTTACAGAAAAGTATTTAAAAAATTAAGTATAGATCAGAGCTGTGACCTTCAGCATGCAAAATTGACAGAATATTAGGCCACCCATACATGAGTAGCAATAATCACTCATTAATTTTACCCTTTTGAGACACACAGTCTTACTATACAACCTAGGCTGGATAGTCTTGAATTGGATAGTCTCTGGTTTTAGCTGCCTGAGGGCTGATGCTAGCGTTACAGGCATGCATTACTGAATTTGACTCTTCAGTTGTCCCTAATTGCAATATGTAGGTAGGGCAGTTGCTATTCTAAATTTCTCCTTTTAGGCTCAGCCTAGGAAGCTCTGAGCAAGGTAGTGACTTCACAAACACTGGCAGATCTGGCCCTGCATCACAAGACAGAATCACCAAATAAAGTTAAAACTCTCCAATCAGTGTATGTCTATGTAAGAGAGAGCGCAGGCACCATGAATGTAAAGGGATGGAGAAAAGAAGACAAAGAGGCACAAAACCAAAGCAAAACACTGAGAGCCTGTCAGTTTTGTCCAGCGGATATACCCTGACAGTAGAAACAAGGATCTTTATCAGCATAGATGAATTACAAAGAATTCTCTCTGCTGTTTTTCTAAATATGGCTGCAATGTATTCTGATCAAATTTACCTCCTTTTATTGTGACCTGTTTTTAAAATTCACCTTTCTGCATTCCCCTTTAGAGTCATTTTATACATGTGTTTTGAATGGCTTTAGAATTAGAAATGCACCTTGAAACTATATTTAGTAAAAAAAATAAGAATCCTCTTTTGGGGCTTTATTATTGTTCTTAATGAGATTCCTCACTGATCAGAAAAAGACAGATTCTTACTCCAGGGATAAAGAAAGATTCAACTTCTTTCCGTTCCTCAACCATCAGCCGACTTCCTCCTTGTAAAGTAAAATTTTCTTGTAGAAATGTCAATCCACCCTTCTTTGGTACTATGTTAGAAAGAACCAGATTCTTAGAATTTTTTTTTGTACTCTTTAGTTTTGACATTAACTTGCAATAAGGTTTTTGCAAATAGTTCTGTTTTATTCTGTCTGGATGTTTCCATGACTAAAATCAAGTGATGTCACCTTTGCTCTTAATGACTTCGCACTTTTATTTTGGAATACAAATTTGAGAATTAGTGATTTCACAAAGTAGGTTTATTCCATTTACATGATCTGATTTAGCTTTAACTAGGCTCATTCAGTTGTAACTTACATGTCTCATAAAATAAAGTTGCAATTGTCTTTTCTGGTAGGATTCCTGAGATCTAAACATTTTATTAAGGCTTTAGTTCTATAATTTTGTCCATTCAAGATCATACTGTATTGTCTACTGTACTGGGAGACTGTCCTTTTTTGAAATATTATAAATACACTTTGGATAGCTAGATTTTTTCACCTTGCAGAAACCATGAAAGGAAAAGAATAGCTTGTACAACTATAGCATTAGATTCTGGAACAGAGTAATTCATAGTATTTGGAAAGCAAAAACAGCATGGTTTATTCCCAGCTGTTCTGCTTTGTGGTTGTCTGACTTACATATTACCATCTTCTTTTGGTTCCTCCAGTTTCTGACCCCCTAACAAGTGAGGAGGAGAGTGATTTGGTGGTTTTACATTTTTAGCTTAAAAATCTTTTGCGATCCAGTCAACCTTTCCGGACTGCCTGAGGAAAATTGGGATGGGAAACATCCACCTAAACCTACTTAATTTATCCATGTATCATAATTGGAACATCACACAGCTAATATAATTATAAGGACAACTTACCTCAGTACGTGTATTGATGTCTTTTCCTGGGAAAAACATAATTTACTCTCAGTAGGAAATCTCTGCCTGGCTAAAATCTTCATTTTACTACTAAGGAAAAGTGTCATATCTAATACTTGTAGCTTGGTGTTTTAGCCTTCTGATGTATCTCCATAAACATGAAATTTAGGAATAGCATTCAATGACAGCTTTACCGTCATCATAGTATAATTTTGTGTATACAAATTATACTATACTTTTGCAACTTCAGCAATGCCAAAATGAGGTCCTTGTTAAAGCCCTTTCAATATAAAGATATGGTTGCTTAAACACGTTGTTTACTAACTTGCATTGTTCATCCCTAAGTAGGAAAAATCATGAGCTCGCCTGATTTTTTCTTAAAAAGGAGGGGATATTTAAGGTTTATTCCCACTTCAAATACAAATGGTTATTTGCTAAAAGCAAAGGAATCTTAAAGAGCAAACAGCTTTGCTAAGACTAGCATCTTCCTTAGGCTGTGCAGTTAAACCTTTTATTTCTTAGAAGAAAAAGTATTTTTTTAAAAAGTCTTTAACCTGTAAGCAACTTGAGAAGTTGCGTCATAGTCTAAAGGAGGACCACTTGATTTCCTTTTAGATTTTGAGAGGTCTCAGGCCATCTGATCCATATGACAAGTACAATGTGTGTTTAAAAGTTGAAAGTGACTAAGAAGACATGATACACATATATGTGTGCATGTGTGTATGCCTGTGTGTGTAAAACTCAAGACTTAATATGCTAAACAAGCATTCTACCCCCTAAATGTCCATGTCCTCATTTGTAATCTCAGGTCAAAAAATCTCATAGCCATGTTCTCTTGCAAACAGTTGGAATGGAGGTGGGGTTATTGCAATCTGTGCTGCCTCCCTTTGTACGCTTGCATTTGTTGTAGGTATACTTCTAGCAGTACATGGTATGCTTACTTCTTGAGCTCATCTGTTAACACTATGTGAAATAAAATGTTTCAGATCCTTCAGAAAGATTTAGCAGTCCAGCCTCAGAAGAGCTACCAGCGTCCAACAATGACTGGCTGAATAGAAGGCAGAGTTCCCCCGAGTCTCTTAACACCTCATTTGCAAGAGAGTCCTGCTCCATGGAGGAATTAAGGTAGGTTACATGTTAGAACAAGGGAAGTTGTGCATTAGAACAGCTCCTAGTGAAGTCTGAACAAACCCAATGAATAATCTTCTCTACAAAAAGAAAATACGGCCCCCCATGGGTGTCATTTATGTGACCAGTCTTTGTAAAATGTTTGGGTTCTTTGCTGAATTCAGTCAAATTCATGACTGAGGTAAAGGATTATAAAGGGAAGACACAGTTCTCTTCTTTACAATCTGTATCATAAAAGTGAAAAGACATGTGGAGTTTAATATTCCTACCAAAGTTCTGTGTACTCGGAAACCCAGATATCCTCCTTGAATTAATTAACCTACTAAATTTCAGTATTCTACAGTAATGGAATCATTCTCAAGGAACACAAAGTTTCTAGGCTGGAATATTGAGACATTTCTTTCCTGAAGCAGTCTAGATGATTAACAATACTTTAATCTGCATCATTTCATATCTTTCCTCACATAAGATCGTGACAGAGATGGGGCTCAACTTGTAAAAGAATATGTTATTCCTAAAAATGTTTCCTGGAAAGCAATCTCTTGTGTCATTGGCCTATTGCAGTTTTTGGAGAAGGAAGGTAGTTCCCTTTAGAAATTCTAAGTAATGTAAGTGTGCAATACAATCTCTTCAGTTGTAAATTTCTTTGAAGTCTGATGCTGCAGTCAAAAGTAATCAGGAGGGGGGTTGGGAAGGTGGCTAGGTGGTACAGCCCTTGCCTTGCATGCCTGAGGCCCTGGGTTCGATTCCTCAGCACCACATAAAGAAAAAAGCAGGAAGTGGCACTGTGGCTCAAGTGGTAGAGCGTTAGCCTTGAGCTGAAGAGCTGATGGACAGTGCCCAGGCCCAGAATTCAGGCCCCACAACCCGACCCCCCCAAAAAAATAATAATCAGGAGGTTGTTACTGGTCACTGTAGGAAGGAAATTATTTAGCTTTGGCCCTTGAATTGTTTTCTCTTTTAACACGAAACAGCTTTTAAGCAATGGATCAATATGAAGTTTCTGGCTTCCATGAAATGTCATTAAAACTCAACTAAATGCATGTGTATTCACCATTATTTCCTTAAAAGAAGGACAAAAACATAAAGAGAACAAACAGTATAAATCACAGTATTTTATTTTTTTAATGTCATGAAAAGTCACTATTTTTTCCTTATAGTTGTTCCACTTCTTAGATGAGTATAAATTTTATCACAGGTCTATCTGCACTGGTCCACAGATCAAAGTTGATGAACTGTTTTAGTCTGTGTGGCACATGAAAAAAATGATGTGTTATATTCATCAGAGGGCAATGGATTTCATATTTGGATATCTATATCTATGTATCTATATCCATATGTCTCTCTATATAGCTATATAGCTATATGACTGAAAATCTAAGTAACCTCAGGAAGAAAAATCCCTCTGTGATCCTCTCACAATAACAGGGTTTCCTACGTCAGATACCCTTGCGGGAAGGAATCTGTCGACTCTGCTGCCCAAATTCCATCCCCCCAAAATGAAATGTGCAGCACAATAAAATAACAAATATTGAAAATAATTTTAGTCTTGGCATATCTTGTCTATCTTACCCCTTGTTCTAATTGATTTACTATATTCAAGAGAAGGTATTTCTCTGGTGGTGTGTTCATTGGGTTTCTATGGCATGATCAACTTGATGAATATGGTTAATGGTGAGGCAGAGTCCTTGCATGGTACTTAAAACATCTTCCTGAATCATCAACAAAAGATGCTACACATGATCCCCATTTGTCCATTGTGGCTTTATTTCTTAGGAGAGGGAAAATTATGAGAATTTCTCATTGAAAGGAGGCCTTAGTATCCTGGGCATATTGAAAATTGTGGCTCAGTCTGGTATAACCGCCTTTTACCTGCTAGCTCCCAACAACTTCAATATATGTATGTAGTATCGATCAGAAGACAAATGAAAGCTGAAACTTGCTTCTGTTTATTGTGTATTGATCCTTTAATGTCTCTCCAGCTTTTCGGGAAAAGATTCCCCAATGCGATCTTTGCTGTCACTTTCTGGGAGCAGCACAGATGAGGAGGAAGAAGATTTTCTTGACAAGCAACATGTCATCAAACTCCCATGGTTAAAGAAGATTTAAAGATCATTTGTTCATGATTTTCCCATTTTTGTACCCAGAGTAATGCCAAAAACTGAAACAGTAAGGATTACCTGTCCAGGTATTGAAAGTTTGAATTATTAATGTTTCTGATGCTTCAAGGCTTGTAAACTAATAAAGGTTAATGAAATTAGAAGTTTTAACTCTGTTCATTCCAAATGACCTAGCTTTTGTAATATACTAAACCATCGTGCATATTGTATAATGAAAATTTAATAAATGATAGGAAATAATATTTATAACTAGGTCTGTAGAACCTGGCATACAACAGAACATAATTATATTTAGAGTTTCATTGTTGATTAATGATTCATTGGTGATTAAAGTAACTGTGTCATTATAGAGAGTATTTGTGATAACAAGATCATATTAGTCATTATCAACAATTGAGCCTTTAACTCGTATTATTTTCTATTAGCCTTTTTCACATTGTAGAAGTTCTCATAGCTTTAAAAGTTGGTGCTAGAATTAAAAAGGGAACTGAACAGAACATGGACATAATTCTTATTGGAGTCAATGATAATAAGACACACAAATGAACTCAAAGCATTTGGAGAAGGTTAATGTAATGTTTAATTTCATGTGTGACTCCACTGTTTGGTCAGACATTATTCTAGATGTGTCCGTGGAGACACTTTTTGAGGAGATTACTATTTAGATCACCAGAGGTCAAGTGAAGCAGATTGTTCTCTAGTTTATGGGCAAGCTTTATCCCAGCAATTTGAATGTCTTAAACAATTGAGGTCTCCCGAGCTAGCGGTAACTGCTTATCATGTTCCTTTTGGGCTGAAATTGTATCATCATTTTGACCCTGTCTCTAACTTGCCAGTCTATACCACAGGTTTTGAAGTTGTCAGTGACCTACCTCTCTATCTCTCTGTCTCTGACTCTCTCTGACTCTCTCTCATTTTTGTCTCTTTTTCTCTCCCTCTCTATCTTTCTGTTTCTGTCTCTCCTTTGTTCTGTCTCTCTACACATGGATGCACACACACACGCCCTATACATTGGGGTCTGGGAAGCCTGATACAGAGCATTTGCAAAATCACTGTGAATGTCACATGAAATAACCCAGTGGAAGAATTTTGCTAGTGCCATCTAGTTCCGGATCCTGGGGTCTGTAAGTATAAAGATTTTTACATAATCTTATAATGCAAGGTTGTGAAAACGTTCAAGAAGATATGGGCAATTGTTTCGTACTTGTCATCTTGTGAACGTGTTAGTTGATGGAATCCATTGGCTGATCAGACAAAAATATCCCCTTGGAATGACTACATATGTCCACTCTAGTACAGGTTCTTTTCTCTTTTCTGTGGTTCTAGGTAGTCACTCCTTTTAAAAGACTCATGGCTATCCAGTGTAAATTTATCTTTGGTGCTTTTACCATAGCATCAATAAATTAAACTCTCATATGTCATCTCCTTACAGGTTAGAAAATATGATGAAGATACTGCTGGTCATTTCTATGACTTTTAATATAAATGCTCTTTATTGGAGGTATTTGACACATAAGCCAACAGTTAACAATCAAGAGTGCCAGTCACTTTTTCAGATAAAACATTGCAAGAGAAATAAATATCTTCTGAAAGAGTGTGACTCTTCAGACAGCAATGTTTTCCTTTCCTCTTAACATTTCCGCTTTCAGAAGCCCATAGACACAACACTGAATCATGTTTGAATCAACATCCTCATGTCAAAAGTCTTTCTGGCATCTGGTCCCGAGGCTTCTGGCTAAGAAGTTTAGTCGCGAACATGGAGATTGCCTGTTCATCTATTATATAGAAAAGACAGTACTTTTTCTTTCAGGATAGCTATCCAGGTTTCAAATTCTTGACTCTACTCTCTCTGTTTGAAGACCTCTCCTTCCCTTCTAATGAAGAAGCAAATAGTTGCTTGGACCATGATTTATAAAACCCAGGCGCTTTTCTCAAAAAGCCTGGAAAACAAGTGATGTTTTGCTCTCTTCAGAGAAGGATTGTACCACCGCTGTCCCTCCCTCCTGGTTTGCAGTCATTGCTTTAGTCTTTACTCACCCAGATATAAAGAGAATTTTATATAAACCCATTCATTGCCTCTTATAAAAATGCTGAAATGAATGTTAAGCTGATAACTAAATTTAACCTGTGCAACTCTGATCACAATTTTGAAATAACTTCGTCAATTGAATTCTAACATTGAATTGAAATTGAACTGTGAGGGTCTTGGTGGCAGAGTTGAGGAGGAAAGACTTCTCGTGCCTTTATTTGCTTTCCATAACCACCCATTTAGAAGAGTTCTTTAATTTCATTGCCATTAGTCTAATGAGGAAATGAAATCTAAATAAGATGAGAACCTTTGCCAGAAGCAGATTCAATATATTCATTCATTCATTTTGAACTGAAGCTTAAAATTACATTTAAAGGCCTGTTCCTGGTTCTGCTTGTAGAATTGAGAGTTACAGGAGTTACAGGTATTCTAGAAAGCTCCAGGCCATATAACTAATGCTGAAGTTAGTACTGGGTTCCTCTCACTGTTGGGGAAATTACCATATGATTTTACATACACTGTGGCCGTACTTCATAGGCAGATTTCTCTACTACTATAAAAGTCATATGGAACTCCATTCATATATAGCTCTTGTCATTCTACATTACAGAAACAAGTGGGGGCTAAATTGTCTTGAATAGTTTTAAGTACATTATTTGATATCCATTGCAGCCACATGTAATATATATTATATATATGCAAAAGAATGTAAGTCAGAGTGCAGTAAGGTACTTGCTATGTTTACTGTGGCACTATTCACATCAGCCAAGTCATGGAAATATCCTAGATGCCTCATAACTGGTGATCAGATTGAGAAAATATGTTATATATATATATATACAATGTAATATTATTTAGCTATAAAGGAGAATGAAAGTACGTTTCCAAGGAAATAGATGGAACTAGTGATCTTCATATTAAGCGAAGTAAGCCAGATTTAGGACAAAGGTCTCAGCTTTTCTTTCATCTGTGGAAGCTAGAATTAAAAAAAGACATATACATAAACCTACAGCATGATATACATATACATATATATGTATATATATATACACACACATATATCCATACATATATAGAGAAAGGAAATGGAAGAGAGAGGGAGAAAGAAGACAACATTGGTAATTGGGGAATTGTTTAAAGGTTCTTGGGGGGAAAGAAAATAATGTTAGAAGGTGAACAATGCTGAAATGCACTGCACCTTTGAATGAACTTAGCAAAAGAAAATTCACGGAAAGCGGTTGAAAAATAGTGAGTTGTTCCCACTATTATTACAGGAAAAGTGAAATTAGCAAAGTGGGAAAATCTGATTAAAACACTGTAAATGCTTGTGTGAAATATCATGACAAAAACCTTTTGAGCAATTAACATATACTAAAAAAAGGAGTGACAGAAATGAGTAAACAGGTCCCGTCAAAGGAATGGGGCCTAGTGGGTGGGCATAGTGAATCAGTAGAGTGAAGAAAGGCAGATATGATAAAGATACTTTATGTGCACGTTAGAGAATGTAATAAAAAGGTAGTTAAGTTTTTTTTGGGGGGAAGAGAAGATGATGAAGGAGAGTGACAGAAGATGGATTTGACCAAGGTACCTTGATTGTTGGTATGGATATGCTAATATAAACACACTTTATACAATTAATTGATGCCAATAAAATGTAGAAAAATGTATTAATGGACAGTGAACACAGAGGTCATTTTATACATTCATATATATGAGATGCTTTAAAAACAATTTTTGACCAAGTGACTACTCCAAAACAGCTTTTTGTCTGTACTAGACACATTCAGATCTCAGATATTTTACAGAATTCACTGTTTCAGGGGAAAAAAACCAGTTCTTTCTGTCTGATTCAATTTTAGAAAGAGCTTAAGCAGTACTCATTGCATTCAGGTTTTGGCACATGCTATTTCTCATCTCTTAGATCTTGAAATGTACTTTCTCAAAGAGCTTTCTCTAAATCTCTATCCATATAAATTTCCCTTACCCCTTCTTGATTCTTTCTAATGGTGATCCTGCTTTTTTATTTATTGTTTGTCCTGCAGAATACAAAATTGCAAATACATTGGCATGGCTTGAAAGACATGCTTCTCAAGTAGAACTGCACGTTTTATTCACCATTTGTGTACTTATTCCAGTAGATGCCTAATGTGGTCTGCAATGTCACTAGTAAATGAATGGATGATGGATGGATGAATGAAAGATCTAGCTGATAGATGGTTCTCTGTCTCTAACTTTTCCCCACAGGGACACATTTGTAATGAGAGAATCCCAAGTATGCTGTGGGACCTGGAAATGTCACTGCCTTGTCTGGTGATGTCCCTTGTCATGATTTTCTGGCAGTTAATCCGTATGTAGACAAATTACTGGTGGAATGATAAGTAAATTTAAGGTTGATATAAATAAGGCACAATAATCACTGAATATCAGAAGCAGAGGGTACTTGCAGTGAGTTGGAAGAGCAGGTTGAATGATCTATAACACTTGTGGTTCTGTATATTTGGATTTATTTTATTAAAAACTTTCTGAAACCTTGCTCCATATGTTCCTTGCTTCCTTCCATCATGTATAAGTTAAAAGGTTTTAAATCCTAAAATGGTAACTGCAATTTATAAACACCCTGCACATCGTACTTTCAAAGAGGAATGATTTTTACAACGTACTATTTATATCTCCCCAAATCTGTTTTAATAGGATATTCTGTTTCATCATAATTTTCATGCCTGGTTATTTATCACTAGCTCTATTTGCATGAAAACAATGTTTATTTCCTGAGAGTTCATCTATGCTGTAGTTTATTCCCTACCTAAAATCATAATTCTTTCTTAGTGACACTCTGATTGTTCGCTGGGTAAATGATTATGATGTTGCAAACACAATTATGGCTTCAGCTGGGAATAACCAGCAGGCATAGATGAACTCCGAGAAATAAAGAGCCTCCTTTTCCATGCAAATGACTTCCA